CCTTACTGTAACCGATACCCTTTTCATTCCCAGTGTGCTATTTGCTGGGAATGGCCAGATGTCTTTTAGATGACATAATGGCAACAAAACTCTTTCTTAGGTCTCCTAATCCCATAAGATTAGTCATTATCTTCCTTTCCCACTTGCACTTTTGAAGGAGCATTTTTTAACCCTTTTAGTCAATTTTTCCAAAAGGTGCAGAATTTTCTTCAAGCAGCCATACCTGTTGTCTGTGTGCAATTCACATGCGATGTAATAAACACTTCCACTAGTTTGGAATCTTTAGAGTGTGGATGACTTAAATCATGATCCAGCCTGGCTAAACAGTATTGTGAAGACCAGGACCAGTTCTCCATCTGTGAACTCTGTCTGCTCCCAGATAGAGCACTCCTTGCTGCTTCTTTTTGAGGGTTGAATTTATGACTGAGATAGTGGTGAGTAAGAGATCTATAAATGGGTTCTGGTGAGGAGTAAACATCATGTGGTCGTTCACTTTGGAAGCTTGTTGAGTGGGAGGCATTTGCTGAACCTTGGTGCACTTGCTATAATCACTGATCTTCTTTGAAGTGCTAATGTCTGTTTTCTCCTGTGTAAAGTTACTTCTTATAAAAGAGGATGCCTTAACAGAATTTTGGGGTTAAATATATAGGGCTGGGAACTATTGAAATAAATAAAGAAAATTTATTTAGTGCCCATGTGATTCATTCATGGTCTTTAATTATATAATATTAGCACCAAATGTGGTCATTTTATTGCATATATGGAGATACAGACAAAATGTGGATGGATTTCGTGTTTCTTCTTTCAGCTAGTATGCTCTCTAAGAACAGAAAACACTGACAACGGGAATTTCTAGTGGGTTTTTTTTAAGAATATTTTGTCTGCTTGCTGTTAACTAGTTGGATATTTTCAGAGAATAAAAGGGAGATGCAGCATTAAAAGCTGTAATTTTGAAAAAGGAAAAAAATATAGTGATATTTTGGAATTCATTTATTTATTTGCATTTATTTTTGATGTTGCATCTGTGTTGAACAGCACATACATTAAATAATGTCTTATATAAAAATAGCTACTGCTTTTTTTCTGTGGTCAGAAACCTCATGGATCCAGTCTTTTTTACATCCAGGAGCTGACACTGGCATCCAACCAACTGCAATCATAGCCTTGCAGATTCTCAGTCAGGGAATGGAGAAGGTCTTGAGGGCTGAAAAACCCTCTAATTCCATGATCCAAAGTGTTCTTTAGCATGTGCTTATGTTCACCCTTAATCAGGACAACATTTAAGCATTTGCTCTCAAGTATATTCTTTTTTTAAATGGCTGAGGGTTGTTTGGTGCAAGGTTGATTGGAACAGCGAGGGAGTCTGGTGATACCCTGCAGCAGCTGAAAGAATCACCAGAGGGCATAACTGTGAGGATTATTAATGTACCATAAGCAACCTATTTTTGAGTTTACAGGCTCCCATTGATCTCTGGAGGAGTTTGTGCTCTAAAAATAACATGCCTTTGGGAGCTGGGACAGGGAGAATTGGAGCCGGCCAGTGGGAGGTCTGAGTGGATTAGAGCATCACAGGGAGATAATATAGGGTCCACTGACTGCAAAGGGAGCTCAGGTAGTAATTATAAGCAACCAGAGAGCAGAGTATACCTGAGAGAAAGATTATACAGTTACCAGGTGTTAAAATAGCACCAGTTGCAAGCAGCATGCTTTAGACAAAATTTGAGGAAAGTGGGCTTGATTTTCCTCAGCACCTGAGCCGTAAGGAAAGATTTATCATCATGGCAATTTGATTTTTGCTTCTTTTGAACGGCAAGTGGCAGAGTTCCTGGGTTTTTTAGTGTTTATTGCTCCTCCTGCTAACTAGCTACTCTTGTAGGCACATGGTCTCTCAGAAGGCTTTGGTTAGAGCTGCTGTGCCCCAGTTGTGACTGGAAGAACTAGACACAGAAGGTCTTTTGGTGGGTCCATTGCCTAGTGAGAGAACTGTCATGGAAGGAGGGGAGAGGTGCTTGCTTGTCTGGATGGGATACAATGCCAGTTTGGACTTTTCAGCCCTGAGGTCATGCAGGTATTAAGGGATATTAATATTGATTTCAATGTAAGCTGAAGGCCAGAGGTGTGGGAACTATGAGGAAACAAAGAAAGGACAAAGAAGTATTTGAAAAAATGGAGCATGTGACCAAGACTAATGGCATCAACCAGATTACTTGTTTTATTAGCAACACAGTAATACAGTTTATAACACCTCGCTGTTTTAGTTTGTAAACTCACTGGCTCCACAACCAGGCAGGGGCAAGAGAGATCTTGCATGTGGCCCATGAATCCACCTTGGCCCTCATGAGTAGAGCACAGCTTCCCCTGGGACAAACAAAGCCTCTGCCAGACCTACAGACTGCCTGAGCCTCAAGACCACCTCAGGAAAACATCTAGTCCAATGTCCTGCTCAGGTCATTGCTCAGGGCCGTATCCAGTCAGGGTTTGAATATCTCCAAGAATGGAGTCTCCACAACCTTCCTGGGCAACCTGGACTAGTGTTTGACCATCCTGATGGTAAAAGAAGTTTTATTTCCTATTTAGATGAAATTCCCTGTGTTTCAATTTGTGCCTGTTGTCTTCTATTACTTGGCACAGTGAGGAAAGTCTGTCTCCATCCTTTTTGTACCCAAGGGCTTTGTACCCATCTTCTTTGTATTGCCATGATCCTTGGGGCTTGACGTGCCCAGCACAGGATGGCTGTCATTAGGAGCTCAGGAAGTAAGGAAAGGCTAAACTACTTAAAGAAGATAATCATGGAGCTCTCATGCAAGGCAGTTGTCTTTTCCAAGGTGACACCTGCAGAAAACACAGCCTTAAATCTAAGATGCTGAATCTGCTAGAAAGGTACAAAAAAAATCATGTAATCATAAAACCCAGAATGCTAAATTACAGCTGTCCATCATGCCACAATCTACCCTTGATGTGTTTGGAGGCAGAATCTGTCACTGGCCTCTCTCAGCAGAAGAATCAGAAAACACTTGTAATGCTGAGGACCACACTGTACTCAGATTTACCTGCTCTGCCCTGCACACTCTTTCTCCTGATCCCAGGCTTGAGCCCTCGAGTTCAGTCATAGCCAGAAATGTTTTATTCAATACCACTTGAAAACAGCCACCCTGTCATACCCAGGAACAGGCATAGAAGAGTTTGAAAGAGAAAGGAGAATAGTCCTGAATGCTGAAGCACATGGAAAGCGTGTGTAGGCAGGAGGTAATTATATAGGACAGGATTACATGTGTGTGTGTGTATCCCAGGGAGCCATCAAATACAGCCCTAAAGCTGGATTTTGTTTTTGAAATCAGAACAAGAAATACCTAAAATTACCTGACTGGAAGGAAATTTCAGCTGAAACAGAACAGAACATTGCCTTACTGAGTCCAGCTCTGAGACGACTACATCATTTGATTGCTAATGGCCACAGAGAGTGTTGGTAGTACTGCATGTGGTGTTATGGCTGCTTCACTGTGGGCAATGACACCCTCTCACTTTCCTTCAAGACAAGTTAATTAACATTTGACTTCTTTATTTAAAGGTTGCCGTCACTTTCAAGCAGTTGGTGTAAACCATGAAGGGTTTCTCTTAATAGCACCCCTCTTCTCCAGGGAAGAGTTTCTTCTGAAAACTGAGCAACCCCAGCCTTTTGAATGTCCCTCCACTGTTTGCTCAAATATGCACAGCCTGCATGTGTTCAGGAGCACAGCAAAACCTCACTTCATGTAACACATTGTGAAATATAGAAGGTTGTCATTTTTTGTTCTCTCCTGTGACTTCTTCTCTGTTTTCTAAGCATTTGTTCAAGGTTCGTGAGTTCAATAAAATTTAACAAAAGTAGGCATATTCCTCCACCTCAAATACTTATATCTTAGCTGATTAAACCTGTATGCTGAGAAAGTTAGTGTCTTGATCTTTTGAAAGTTAATTGCAAAACCTGTTTTCAGGTTTTCAGTACTGAGCTGTCTGGAACCACTGATATCAATAGCAACCATGGTATTTCTTAACTTCAAAAGAGACCAGAAATAGGCCCTATGCTGGGCTTCAAATTAGCTGTGACTATGCAGGAAAGAGTCACTGTAGACAGGTCAAAGGAAATTGCTCATCACTCCCCAGTCAGAAGCTAAGTGTCCCCCCCCTGCCCCAGTCTTGCTTTAGATAAATAAATAAAACAGTGGAATTTATGAAAATAACACAGAAAATACTTTGCTACTATGTCTAGAATACTGCCCTCAGTGCTGGTCAGTCATTAGAATTAAAGCAGAAATAGGGGAGAAGTGGAGATGTGACAAAAGTAGTCACAGGAAGATATAAGCTACCAAAAGAAGAGAGGCTGAAAATTCCCCAGGACTATTCAGTTTGGATGGAGCCTCATCAGTGAATTCTCTAATGGGCAGAACAGAAGAGGAAAGAGAAGAGTATAACCAAAGCAGTTAAAAAAATTAAAACTGCACAGACATATATATGTATATATCAGTAAGTAGTATTTAATGGTAAAATTAAATACCATTTTTATTTTTATGAACTGACGTGTCCCTACACCTTGCAACGTGGGCACATGGCAGGATTTGCCTCCTGTGCCTGCTGAAGCAGTGGCAGGGCTTTCCTGGGGCTGAGTCCCACTCAAGGTCTGTGTAGGGCTGGAGCTGCCCAGCTCGCACACTTTGCTGGGTGCCTGGGGCGAGATGGCAGAGCCCCAGCACTCTACACCACGGGCAAAGCTCCAGGCTTTAAAGGCCTGAAGTCTTGACAAAATCATGAAGTATCATCAGAGATCTGGAGAGTAGGTGGGAGAAGCTAGTGGATCACAAAGATTTGCATTCCCTGAGCTTGGCTGTAGACAAGTGCTGTCAGCGAAAGAAAAATTGCAGGTGTGGGGAGTATCCTCCCCCTCACAGCTTTTCTGCATGATCTGAAAATACCCCTGAGTGCACTGATAATGATTAATTTCTGCTCTTGTATCTGTTGCATAGGTCTGACAAGTGAAACTGGATGGATTCCAATGAATGGAGAAAATTTCAAATATTTTATATATTTGTATGAAGACCATGAACTTCCCAACTCTTCAATACCCTGTAGGAAGTATCTTCTTTGTACATTTATATCAATGCTTTCTTGTTGTCCATTTTGTTTAATATAGGAAAGTAGTGCTGAAATAGAACAAAGAAACTAGCAATGAATATAGGAATGATTTTGACCTGAGAACAGGGAGTAGTGTAATTTGAAGCTTGAGCAACACTAGAAAAAAACTTTTAAAAATTACATAATTATTTTCAATTAATTTCTTTCTATTTGAAAAATGTCAATGTGTGCAAAAGAGTTTTTAAATGACTTCACAAAATGCAGAATAAATGAGGAATATAACACCTTTTGTCCTATTGTGAGTTCCTGTTATAGAAGAGGAATCATGTATTGTGTAATAAAGGAAATGAAAATATTAAAATCAATGGTCTTTCTGGTGAGTTGAGCCAAATTCTTCTTTTGTTGTAGAGACAAAGTGTTTCCTTTCCTCCGGAATCTAAAATGCACTGCATTCCTGTTCTGATACTTTTGCTTCACCTTTATACAAAAAATATACAAGATGTGAGGTAGCTGACAGAAAACCTGCAACCTTTATTCAAATAACCAGTCATCCGGCCTTGATGGAACACACTCATGAATGTAGCTTGGAGGATCATTATCTTCAGAAGCTCAAATCAAAAGGAGACATTGGAATATGGATGCTGGGCAAAAGTAATGTATGATCACAGAGCAAAAGTAATGTATGATCACACCACCTCTTATACAGTGACTAATCCTTGATGCTTGCATTATATGGACTGTACATAAAAGAAGACTGCTTGATGCATATTGTATTTTTGGAAATGAGATCCTATTGTAAGAGAAATTTAATACACTGTGCCTCCTTGTTCTCTTTTATGTTACTTACAGTAAAGGGATATGAGGACCTGTTTTTAATAACTTTCTTCTAATGTTGATTGAAACTATTCTACATACTTCGAATCTCTCTGCCTGGCTCTTGTTTATTCAAATAAAATAAAGATAATTATTCTGGTTAGAAAACAGATTTCAAGTTGAATATTACTTACAATGACATCCATTTAATTCTTGTATGCTCTATCAGATAATACAAGACCTAACTGAAATGATTTTTGAATTTTAAGTTTCCATATATTTGCATTACGTTGTACAGGAAATTAGAAAGGAGTTGTACTCTCTGCAGCTCAATTAAAATGGCATTCTTGTATTTTTTACTTTGTATATGCAATATCAACATTGTTTACTATCCTGCATCATCCTTATATGCTCTGATATCCCTTAATGCATTTCTTGGAGGTGAACATGCCTGAAGAACAGGCTGAAATGGAAATGTCAAGAGATGGAATGCATCAGGAGCACCTTTCAGTTACATCCTGATGAGATTAACATGTCTGTTCAATTGAAAATGAACAATTTTCCCCAACACTGCATTATCAGACACTGATATTAGACTGCATTGTTCCTACCAGTATGGAAATGATAAAAAGGAGAAAACACGTAATCCCTTGATCCAAAAGTGTGCTGAAGGTGACATGAGTCAGGACCTTGGCTTTTGTTTTCTTTACTCACTTAAAAAAATAATAATTTCAGAGAGCTGGGAAAAGGTAAAGCCTCATTTCCCCCGCCCTTTTATAGTTAGGAAACTTCATAGTGGAAATTCAAGGGGATGGAGAGAGTTTGGGCCACATCCTGGACTTCACACCTGAATGTGTAGGTGAATGGAAAAAAAACATCCCTGACAGGAAAGTGTGGTTCTTTTGTGTCTTGGTTTTAAAGCAGTAACTAAAAAAATTACTAGAAAACTTACTTATTTCTTGCTGTGAGATATGGATTAGAACAAAACAGGCTTAAACTTAAAAGGAATAAAGAAAGTTTATTAACAAAACTACAAGAATAAGAACACCAGAATAAACTTCTAGAAAACTCCTTTATCCCCCACTACCCAACTATTTCCTTGTTTACATGACAATATAGAGAATAAAAACTTTGGAACTCTGGTGTTTAAAACAGTCCCAATTCCTGCCAGAGTCTTTTCATCAGCCTTTGTAGAGAAACAGAAGTCTTCTTCTGCTAATTTGTGGAGTTTCTCACAAGAAAGCTATTTCTGTTATAGCTTTCTATTTTTTTGATGCCAGCTGCCCGGAATTCCTGTCATCAGATTTTCTCCTCCCATTTCACATCACTCTGAGGTGTGTTATGTGTCAATGAGTCTAGGGATGTCATTTTTAAGGATGAGTTATTCAAAGGCAAAAGTCCTCTTCATCTGTCTCTGTGAGCTTTCCTGGAAACAAATTTTCTCTTTGCCTCTACAATGGCCCCAAATCTTCAGCTATTACTTCTTTTCACTCTGTTCCAGCACCTCACTGTATTACAATTGCTCCACCTTTTGCTCAAAATCTACACTTTGAACATTCCATTCCTCCCAATGTACTCTGTCATGAATTAAAGGAATTTTTTCAGAATACTATTGTCCATCTCCATAGCTTTAACAGAAAAATATTTCAGCTTATAAAGCATCTCCTTATTCTCTCTTCTCCATCCAAAACTTAACTCTTTTCTTCACGGCCTTTGATGGTTTTATAATGTCTTTTTCATGTTATTCTCTCTCTCTCTCTGTCTCTCTCTGAGAGAAAAGGGTAATCTGTACGTTTTATCCAGGTAGTTAAAGTCTTAGAAAGCAGCAGATGTTCATGTTTTGAGCTTTCAGTTCAGCAGCAGAAACTGCAAACCAAGCCAGGCCGGCCGGCTCCGTTTCTCCCCCCACCGTCCTCTGCGGCCTTGTCCGGCCTGGAGGGGGGGAGGAGGCCGAGACAGAGCCTGTTACCTCGTCAGAAGCCGGAAACCAAAGAGAACAAGAGAACTCTGGCTTTACATCTTAAGGCCGTGTTCACAAGCTAATCTCACTTTTCAATGGTCAAAACTGCTGTCAATTCTTAGAAATGACCAATAATTGGTCACAAGAAAAAACTCCCATCAGCCTTTCGCAGCTTCAACTTCTTCCCAGCTCCGGGAGCTATCTTAAAGGTAAAGTCATCCCATCACATTTTGCCAGATTTCAAATCCTTGATTCCAAATGGAGGGGTACCACCAGGGGCCACTGAAACATTTTCAGAGTGGGGAGGGACCAGTTAGAGGCAAATAATACTTTTTATGAGCTTTGGTTTTATTTTAAAAGAAAATTTTTACACTCCCTTGAGACCGACAGCTAATGGGGAGCAGGGATCAGTGAGAACCCTGAGTTAAGTCTTAGGACTACAAAAAATGCTTAATAAAACATGAAATTAGCAACTAAGTACTAGGAAAAAAGAAGGCTGTGAAGACTCTCTGTCTCAGCTGGTAAATAGCTTATAACTGGTCTGAACCATCTTGTGCTAGTGAGGCTATGTTTCATTTAAGCCTTATTAAAGGTTCTGACTGTAGGGCACTCACAGGCCAGTGAAAGATGCCCCAAGCAGCTCTGCAGTCCAGTACTTCTGGCATGGGAAGTTCTGTCCCCCAGATGTTAGATTATGGCACAAATTTAGGGAAGGATTGAGGTCTTACAATGAAGAATGAGCGCAGAAATACACAGTAACAGATCATTCTATAAAATCATGCCCATTTCCTGTGGTCACATGGGAGTCTGTGAGCATGAGCCAAAGTCACTGGCAGGTGTGTATGAACACCTCCCTGATGAGCACCCCTGAAGAGGGGAGCCAGAGGGATGGCTGCACCAAAGCAAGTGCAGCTGAACCAGAGAGACAGGCTCCCCTCCAGCCCTCCCCTATACCTGCTCAGTGGGGGACCCACGATAGAAAGCAAAATACCTGGATTTCAGTGTCATCCCTGTGCCCTGGCCTCTGTACAGTGCTGCTGTGAGAATAAATCAAAGGGACAGTACTGCCCCTGTGTCATCAAGCACTGGGCATGAAAGGTGGGGGAGAGCTTCCTTTGTTAACTCCCTACCCAGTGCTCTGCACTGTAATTTTTTTTTTCTCTCCTAATGTCAAAGAAGAGATTTTATTAAACTAAGAGAAATTGTTCAACAATGTTGTGGCAATATGTTCTGTTGGAAAAAGCAGAAATAGGTATCATGCAGTGCCCACAGCAAAGGCTTTAGTCTAATGAGGAGCATGACCCCAACCCGTTTAGGAAGAGTGTTTTAATCACTGGCCAGTGAACAAAATCACACTCTAAGGATTTTTTTGATTATCTGCTCAGAAAAATCCAAACACATTTATCTTAGAGCTAAGGATAAAGATAGAGGTAAAATAATAATAATTACTGTTACCTGAGAATTTTGGGGAGCTTGAATATATCCCCATTGGTTACTCTGGTTTATTCACTTTTAGTTAAAAGATTATATGGCTTCTGCATTTCTGAGGCAAATAGTGCTATTTGTCTTAAAACTCTGGAGGCTTGAATTTATGCATTAATTTGAATTATAGAATTAAACTGGCAGTTTTGTCTTTTCTGTGATGGTGTAAGCTAGTAGTAAAAGCAAATAGTTTTTTTTTTTAAAAAAAAGCAGTAAAAGCAAGGCCCCACTGTACTGCTTTAAGTACTGTATCAGTAAAACGTGTAGTTACACGCAATTGTGTTTATGGATGTGAGTTCCCCAAATCAAAGCCTGGAGGCACAGTTCACTGAGTTCAGTGGCATCTCACCAGGATCGTGCTCAGTGTACTCACAAGGGTGATAAAGAAGGTCCTTTTATTTATCTCTTGTTTTATGCAGTCTGCAAATTATTTATGAGAAGGCATTAAAAAATCTGGCACTTTGGCTATTTTTTATTATAAAAAATTGATGTTGAGACAAGAGAATTACAGAAGATGGTCCAATGAAAATAGTTTCATCTTTTCTTTAGCTTTAGGGGAAAAATATTGAAACAATTTTCTTTTGCCCTTCTGACTGAGTCCCAGTTTCTCTAATGTGTGCATATTTAATTTGAATGAGTTTTTGCAGATTAAATAATGCATTTGGAAGAAAGATCCTAATTTTGGTATATGGGCTGCCTAGTACTATTGGTGCATGAATAAATACAAAGAAAACTTCCCCTAAAGCCAGTTTCTCAGTCCTCAAAAATACTGCAGCCCCAAGACAAAATATTCTGTAGAGACAAAAAAAACCCTAGGGTTGGATGTAAGATCAGTCAAACCTGGTAAAATCCAGCTTTCCTGTGTCTTTGGAAGAAGTTTAAAGCCATTTATAAAATAAGCACACCTATCCATATGTTATATGTACTTCCCACGACATTACTTTGCAGTATTCTATGATGTTTCCAAAGGCATCCTGCAGAAAACTGGTGACTGACTGCAAGTGCAAGTGAAGTGAGAGTTCTCTGACCCTGATACCAGCTGTGACTTTCTTAAGCACTGGTGGATGCTAATTCTTGTCTGGTAACTAATTAAATATGATTCTGTCTGGACTTCTTACTGTGAAAAGTGATTTAATCCTTTGCTGTATCTTTAGTGAAACGGGAATTAAATTTGTCTTTCTTACAGATGCTGCATTCATAGTGAATGTTTTTTACAGGTACTGCAATAGCTTCTGATGAGAGTAATCTTCATCTGATCCAGAGGCTCCTCATTTCCATCTAACACTTGCCTAGCTGAGCAATTGCAGGGTTTTAGTGGTCCATAACACATCTCCCTTCCAACATGAGACTGACAATCCAAGCCCTGGCATGAGCAGAAATGCAGAAGTCAGCAGGCAGCTGAACTGAACATTGTGATGGTGCAGTACATTATCTTCTATCCTTAACACATAGCTGTTGACCATGTGAGGCAAGTTTGGACACAAGGGGCAGGATTCACACTTTTTTTGGGCATGAAGAGGATCCATACAAGTAAATGTCATTGGTTGATACTGGCCAGCTACTAGGCACCCACCAAAGCCCCTCACTCACTCTCCTCTGCAGCTGGACAGAAGAGAGAAAATATAACGGAGGGTTCCTGAGTTGACGTAAGGACTGGGAGAGATCACTCATCAAATACCATCAGGAGCAAAACAGGCTCAGCTTAGAGATATGAAGAGAATTTATTGCTA